GGGGGGGGGGGGGGGGGGGCAACGTTGAGACGGCGGTGGACGAGTAGAGCTACATGGCATAGAGAAGTGTGCATTTGTCTGTCTGCGAGGAGAAGGAAGGCGGAGGTCGGTACGCCGCGCACGACAAATCATTGACGTGCGCCAAGGCAACGACGGCCCCGGCAAAACTTCCGCAACGAAAAAACAAAAAATCACAACAATACAGAACTCTGCGAAGCAGCAGCAGAGGCGAGAAGCACAATAAACACGATAGGAATTTCTTTGATTGTACAAATATTTTCTGAAAACACAAACAAGAACCACTACAACACCCTAATCTCCACCCCTTCCCCCCCCCCGGTTCCTCCGCCCGAAAGGTCAGTCCCCCGGGCCGCCTCCAGCGCACACAAGAAGACCCGCCGCACGAAACGCGCTAAAAACGCGCCAAGTACGTGTCTAACCAGCACACACAAAGAGGAAACGGTCGAAAGTTCCATTAAATACGTGCCACAGGCACACACGAGGAAGACCCAACGCATGAAACGCCCGAAAGTATGTATGTGTCCGACAAGACAAAGCACGAAACGCACGAAAGCATGGACGTGTCCGACAAGACATGCAGAAAAAAAAGACCCACCGCACGAAACGTCCAAAGAACGCGAAGTACGTGTCCAGGAAGGCGTTCTCCCTCCTCCCGACCCTGCCGTCTCTCGTGATCTCCTCCCTGGTCGCGGGCAGCGGCAGCACCACTGCCGTCGCGGCCTCCTTCGCCACTTCGGCCGCCTCCGCCGCCTCCTTCGCCTCGTGCGCCGCCATCTCCGACCTCGCGTTCGCCTCTACCAGCCGAGCCTTCGCCTCTGCGGCCCGCGCAGCGGCCGCGTCCGCCTCCTGCGTATCCGTACCGACGAAGTCCCCGGGAGACGGCGTCGCAGCCACTGGCGGCTGCGGCTGCGGTCGCTGCGGCTGCGGCGGCCGGGGCGGCGGCGACGGCGATACCGACGACGAGGCCGAGGAAGCAGTCCTTACCGCCCCCGCTTGCGCCGCGGCATGGCCGGAGCCGTAGAAGGCGGCCTGCTGCGGGGCAATCCCACGGTGGTGATGATGATGGGGGTGTTGTTGTTGGTGCTGCTGTTGGTGCTGCTGTTGGTCTGTGAAGCCGGGGGAGGGCACTGATCGGGAATCCGGCACAAGCTTCCACGCCAGCTGCCCGTTCGACTCCGGCTCCGGCTGGTACTGCTGCCGGTGCGGAGGCTCTCGGGCACCGGGGGGCGGGGTGGTTCCTCCCCCCACGCCCGCGGATCCCCCTCCTCGCGACGACGAGGGCTGGGTTTGCGGGTTTTGATGCACGTGGTGTTGTTGTTGTAGATGCCTCTGCGGTGCAGAAGGTGGTGGTGGCGACACCTGCCGTGCGAAAATGATATTTCCAGCGTATTTATCAGTTGTTTTTATGAGAATTTGTGATCATGAGAAACGGGCCTGGTCTGAAGGTGGTGGTGGTGACACCTGCCGTATTTCCAGCGGATTTGTTTTTTTTCATGAGAAACGGACCTGGTCTTCCCCCGTGAAAGAGGAGGAGAGGAAACGGGGGGTACCTCGTGTATAGCCAACCCCCTCGCCCCCCAAAAATCATGGTCCGACGAGCTCAGTTACACAAAGACGGAAGGTAGCCGTCAGGTAAGGGTTCAAGGTTTTTCATCAGGTCGTTCCCAAGCTTTTTATTCTTCTCTCCTAAGTGCATCTCGAGACCGAACTAGCGGGGGGGGGGGCGTGGCACAAAGCAAGTCGTCTACGACATTTTCTACCGAAACACTTGGGCCACGCTTGAGTACCTTCCGGTGGTGGTGATGCGGGTGGAGAACGTGTCGGGAGGTGGACGAGTCCTGCTGAGCCGCCGCCCGCCAGGCGCTCGGCGACGACGGTCGCATGGGGATACCCCCCGCCCCGCCGGAAGACACCTGCGGGACCCCCTTGGACGCCACTCGCATCTGCGGCTCCGGGCCCACCGCCGGCGGCACCGCCGGTGGCGCCACCCCCCCTCCCCTGCCGCCGCTCCCGGAGGAGTCTTGGCGGCCAGCCCTAGCACCGCCGTCGCCCCGGTGATGAACGTGACGGTAGTTGTGGCGCCCGGTTCTCGCGTCTCGCGACGGCTTTGGGGAGTGCACAGCACCGCTGCTGCTGCTGACGCTCCCGCTACCGCTGCGCGATGGGGAGGGGGGTCTCTGCGCGAAGCTGTTGTGAGAGTTGGCGGAGGCCGGGAGGTAGTGGTGACCAACGCTGCTGCCATGAGGGGAGCGCGCCTGCCCATCGACGGCGTAGGGGGTGGGGCCAGACCCTCTTCCTCCCGTGGGGCCCCTTCCTCCTTGGCTGGGATCGGCGGTGGCGGCGGCGGCCATGTCCATGGTATTTTCCCGGCGTTGCTTCTGGTGCGGCGCTGCCGACTGCTGCGTGCACGGCAAACACACACATGCACCGGATTCCGGGTTTTCATTCTAGCGATCATGAAGGCGCTTGGTGGTCGCATGCAACGCAGGATGATCTACAGGTTCCTGCACGCGCTTGTGACCACGAGATATCACGCTGGTCAACCAGCAAGCGATGGGCAACCAGGAGATGGAAAGATGGATTACGAATGCCATGCAGGACAGAAACACACCGCAGCGCAATCATATCAACCCCTTTTCGAACCCGCCCAAACATATACCTGGTACCAACGCATTAGCTGGCACCGCACCGCTTCGACCCGTCATCTACTCGCCCGCGACCCCGCCTTCTGATAGCATGTAACAAAATACGACGGACAAACCGTGTCGCACGTACCATACGTGGTGCGTGCATGTTGATCACAACCCTTAAAGATGTTCCCGTCGAGTCAACAAGAAACAATGAAGCGCTTCTCTTTCTCGCCCATTCTTTATATTCAGTCGAGAGCTACGCATAACGTGATTGTGGCATTTTCTTCATCGTGGAGTAATCGAGCTTTAAAATCGGTCCAGGGTGTGTGGTTTAGCCGCAGTCTGAGCCCTCCGTTGGTACGTGTGTGCGCGTACGACTATGCACTTTTCGCTTGCGAAATACGAGTTTCTTTTACAACGGCGACATGTGATTCCACACCCCATTAAGAGCCACAACGTGACGAGGTTACCAACTGAACAACCTTAGCCGCTACTGCCGCTTTTTGTGTGACAAAGCTCTGGGTATGCATGCTGCAGATCGGTGTTGAAGGAGTCCAAGCTACCAATTGAACCACTTAAGCCGCTATGCTGTTGTGTGACCGAGCTGTTGGCATGCATTGACCCGCGCAGAGCTGCGGTGTTGAAGGTATCGAGGGCAACTGAACCAATTAGCCACCACTGCTGTTGCGTGGCAGGTGCTTAGACCCGCGCTTGGTCGCCATCCCGAAGGGGTCGACGTTACCAACTGAACCATTCAGTTACTACGTTGCGTGACCGAGTTCTCGGTATCTGGACTGCCGTGGCGAAGGAGCCGAGGACACTAACTAAAACATTTTATTTAGCCACACCGCTGTTGGCATTTGGTATTTCGTACAGCCCAGGTTACCAAGTGCACCAATTAGCCGTTAATATACTGCTATTGCTCCGAGCCCTTCCTCGTGCTTTTTTTCGACTCCCGCCGTCCGTACCTTCGAGCTGGACGACTTTCTCTTTCCCGAGAACACACCCCGGTCGCCGTGACCCCCATCAGATTCCGATCCTCCCCCGCTCCTGATACGTCAGTCAGACGTTAGGGGGGGGGGGGTCGGAGGTGAGAAGCGGTTAACACAAGCAATGGAAGTTAAACGCGGGCGTTGCGGTTCTACACGTCCGTGGCCCTGGACTTGACCCCCGCTGTTTTGTTGTCGAGCCTGCCGGCACGTGACGTGCTACTGTAACAGGCGGGCTGGTTTCTAAAATGCACTTGTCTGTTTTCGAGGCAAAACCAGGACTGCCTGCCCCCCCCCCTCTGCCTCTGCCTGTCTGTCTGTCTCGCTCTCTCCATCTCCGTCCCTGTGCCTGTCTGATGGCCAAACGGCCATCATCTCTCACCTCCGGCTTGCCGAAGACAGGCCTCGCTCCCTGCCGCCCGCGTTGGACCACGACGCCGTCGCCGCCGCGGCCGCCGCGGCCGCCGCCGCCGATTCCGCCGCGGCCGAATCCGCCGCCGCCGCAGTTGCCGCCGCCATCGCCGACGCCGCAGAGCCCTTGCCGCTGCCGCCGACGGCCCCGGTCTTGTTGGCACGGGGGGCCGGCGGACGGGAAGGTGTGTCTAGCGTCGGCGCCTCCCCCTCTCGGGGCTTGCGCTTGCGCCCGCTCTTCTGCTTCACGCTGAAGTGGCACACTAGCTTGAGCTGGGGAGGGGGAGCGACCAACCAGCACACATGGGAGTTGGGATGTCAGAGTATCTTACCATCACATGTATGATCACAAATTGAAGCTTTTGGTGTTGAGGTTGATCGCACGAGCGTGCCGGAGGGTTGCTCCTGTTTGGTATAAACGGTGGCTGTTGTCTTCACGGCAAGACAGCGTTTGCTGCCTCTACAGTACCTAGATGTCCCCGGGACCGCAACACTATTGCATGCCCAAAAAATTGAAGTTCAACCCGGGACTTTTGTCTGTGGAAGAGATGAACTTGATGTGTTGTTCGAAAGGCAAATACTTGGAAGTATAATGATAAAATCAACACTGCAGACTGGACAAAAGGGATCGGTGTTGTACGTTGGGAACGAAGATAAGACACCAAGCTTAGGACCGCAGCGCAACTCCAGCCTAGTACCGGAGTGACTCACGCACGTCCTAGGCAGTGGTCACCAGGGTAAAGTAAACCAGAGGTATCGTACACACCTTCATAAAAGCTCAGAAAAATGTTCTGACGCAGATCGTCGCTGTCGACAGCATATCAGCAACCGCCGTGCCCACGATGCAGTAGCCTTCGCGAGGATACTATTTTGATAAGCACTATTATAAGCTTGGTTTTAGTAGTTAGGGGTTGGGTTGAGGGTAAGGGGTAACGAACCCCCCTCTCTGATTTTCACATGTAACGCTTGGTCATGCCCAAGAAGGAGGTCCCACGGGCGCTTGCGATCAGCGGCAGCTGCGGCATGACCTTGCGGTGGGCCCGCCAAAGTATAGTAGGCATACACCGGCTGACCATCTCTCTCGCTGCTGTATAATCTGCGGCGGTGTGTCCGCGGAAAAGTCGGTCAATCCATGTGCAAGCATGTATCACCCACAACGACCGACCGAAAGAGCCTTCCACAAAAAGCCCTAGGGCTGAATATTAAGGAATAATAAAAACACACACAGAAAGACTACCCATTCGAGATATACCCACAGTCGAACGGGATGTGGTGGAGTCTTTTCAGTGAGTGAAGGGAAACCGGCTGGGTACTGGACTTATTTCGAGTCTTACAAGCGGTAGGAGTTCAATCTCGTCACAGCCAAAAAAAAATTCTTAAGCTCGGAAGCATAAATACCGATTAGGACATTAACATGAACGATCTAGGTCATAACCAACCCGGTTCGAACGCACACGTGTTGAAGTATCGTCCATGCAGCAAGGACGCAAGGACTGAGGGACGAGGGACAACTGCTGCCAACCTGACACCAACACATGCTTGGGAGAAAAATGCATTCTCTGTCCTCCGTTCACATTGGGAGGGGGCAAGGAACGTTGACATGGTAGGACGAAACATTGAGTCCGAAGTGTGAGAGTGCTTGGCATACGCTAAGATACTCAAGAGAGAGTGCAAGCTACGCTAAGTACGTAGAAGTTAGTGCGAGAGTGGCATTCAATATGCAGCGCCACACCAACCAACCCTAGGATGCATGCCCGAATAACCAACACAGAAGTCCTTGGGTCCGTTGTACGCATACGCATATTCACATGAACGCGTCGCAGATTTACCCATTTGAGAATAATCTCGAGGATAGGTGGTACACCTCTGCGCACTCCTTGGAAATGCAGTTCGTCGAAAGTAGGGACGAGCTATTGCATGATGCGGTACTGCTGTCCGGGGTAAGGATACACGAGAGGGAAAAAAAAATGGGCAGCGGGGAGGGCTTGCTTGCGTACATGTGTACGTACGGGGAACGTTGTCGGAGACTTTTGGGTGTTCAATGAACACCATACGCGTATCGCACGTACAAATATCACACAGGACACGATGCGGTTGTTTCTTTTGTAGGGACGAGAGAAGTAAGGAAGAGAGCGAGAAGAAACAGCGAGCGAGATAGCCAGGGGCGGCGTGTAGTAGACCCTGCCTTTTCATCAATGCACCTACGGCTCTTCATGTGTGCTGGGTTCTGCATGTCTAGGCGCGCGAGACGATGCGCACGGCGAGCTTTGATCTCATGAAGTGCTACTTTCGCTGGGCACGAGGACTCGCCAGTTGACCTTAGCGAAGAAAGGAAGGAGTACAGAAAGAGGTACGTGTGCTTTCGTTCGTGTGCTCTTGTTGTGATTGATGTTGTGATACGCGACGTATGCATAGGTGTGCCTTTCCATGAATAGTTGAGCGCGTCATCGCCGCCCAAATCCGCCCCCGCCGTCTCGAGCACCTTCTTCCCCCATCCCCCCACTACCCTCGCCCATAGCCCGGTAGAGAGTGAGAGAGGGGGGGGTCCATCTCTCTCACCCTCTCTCACCCAATCTCTTATTCTCTTCTCGCGCTTGCTTCACGCACCTTTCGGCAGTTTTGGCAAGGGTTTACGCCATCGCACTTTCGCTTTCGCCGCGAGCAAAAATCGCAGCTCGCTCGCCTCTCTCCCGACCCGGGCGCCTTGCTCCCCCCGCCCCCACGATCGGCATCCCCCTCGCGGTACCCTCCCCCTCCCCCTCCTCCCCCTCCTCCTCCTCCTCCTCCTCTTGCTCCTCCTGCTAGTCCCCTCTCTTGCCGCAGCCCCCCTCCTCCTCCTCCTCCCCCCGTTGAAAAGCCGAGAGCGTGGTCATGGGGTATGGCGTCCGGATAAGCGTCCTCGTCGCTACTGCTCCCCATATTCGACAGCTGGGGAAGCTTGAGGATACCCTAGGTGCGGTCGGGGCTCGGTCGATGTTCCGCAGCGGTCGTTGAAGTGCGTGAAAGGTGTGATAAAACGCAGCACGCTCGGAGCTGTTTGTCTGTGCTTGTTTGACTCGATTTCAAGGGGGTGTAAATAAGCAATAGGGATGCCCGCGGGAATAAAAAAACTTTTAAAAAGCCACGTAGTAGTTGTAAACATGTTTGTGTGTCTATGCAACAACACACCGCCCTCGTGCTGGTACTGTATTGTAGCTGTTTGCTGCTGCGTAAGGCATGCAAGCAGTCTACTACATAGTAATTTAGCAGCGCCACAACAGGGTGTGCGCGGCAGTTGGCGACCGCAAATAGAAGAATTATGTTTCAGAGATCAGACTTGAGGAAAATCAAAATTGGTGACAACAATGCAACACCAACATAATACATGTATGTGCTCATGTGCTCCCTGGTAGGGGCGAAGACTGTGTCGTTGCGACGGTACTAGAAAAAGAGCCACGCACGGCCAATCTCGACCCGAGCTTTTATCTCCGGATGCCAACGTAAATTTTGGGCAGTTCCGTTCAGCAGAGGCACTTCAACGCAATCCTCCTTGCAAGCTTGCAAAGTGGCGTCGGTTCTCTTCGGAACTTATTTTCCTGAATTTGTAATAACTTGGAAAAACCTCTCACACCTACACCCCATACTTTTCGGACACAACAACAGTAAACAACCTACAGCATGGTACCGTGTAGACCGCAAACACAATGCCTGCATCATCAGCCATTATTCAAGTAACAATGGAGGACGATATGGTCAACGGGGTTGGTTTTAAACAAGCCTCGGTGAACATTGATGCACACACTTTGCTTTCGATGTGCAGACACACACTACATCTTTTCATTGGTCAGCCGGTTAGCGCGGTCGATGCTAACAATAAAAACACACACAAATGTGCCTCAAGGGAACAGACCGATTCACCCAAGTGCCGAAAAATCCAGCCGACAACACACGACGAGGTGGTGGAGAGTACAATCATTCGCTATAAGTGTTTACGGGGTGATAACCAAAGGGCAGGACAACCAACCGTGGTTGCATACCATAGACCAGCTTCAATTTCTTACTTTATAATATATATAAAAAATAGCAGCGGAACCAAACCGGCAACCTGACCATCAAGCAAGGCAATAGACTTTCTTTCTCTCTCTCTCTGGTCATCATCTCACTCAAGCATCGTTATGCACGGACTCCAGCTCATCCCGTACACCTGTACTCGTAGATAGACTAGTGTACCCCAGGAGGGCTACTTCGTACAATGCAATGACAACGTACAACTTTAAAACCCGAAGGACCTCTAGCCGAGCCGATCATCTAATTTCCTAATAATCGTCTAGGGCCTGAAAAAAAACTCCACATGTATGTGGGCAGACGGCGCAAGACCGACCGGAGCAGGTTACTTATTGTTCAACTACACAAAACAAGACGACCACGACGAACAAAGAAAGAAACGCACCAAAGACACCGCTGCCACTGTTGACACGGACCGTCGAAACAACCACACCTCACATACACGTCGTCCCCCAGCACCTCTAAACCGGCCACCCTCTTAAAAATCTGTTGGCCAGCACATCATCACCCGACACACACTCTTTTTTTCTTTGAACCACCAAGAAGAACACTCCGCTGAAAAAACGACACTAAGACAACAACAAGGAGCGCGGCGCAAAGCGGAGCGGCCGCACGCGTAGGGTTTCTATAACACAACGAAACAGACAAAAAACAACGTCCACACAGCAGTGGTAGTCTATGCCCGTGCGCCGCCTCCAAAAAAGCACACGGGTAGTGCCCACGGTCCGAGCCGGATGAGCCTTGCGGGGGTGGAGTTAGGCCGGGTTCCTACTCCCGCCGCGTCTTCTTCCTCTGAGTCTCCCACCGTTACCACCGGGGCCACCGAAGCCCCTTCGGGCTGCGGGGCGGGGGACCGGTGGTTGGGGTCGCCGGAGAGGTCGATGGTCGCTATCCGCCCGCGCGAAGCACGTTCGGTGAGGTTCTGGTCGGCGTTCGCCACAGCAGTCGCCTCGTCTCTGGTGGCTGTTGCTGACGAGGGCCGCCGGAGGCTGAAGTGGTGGAACCAGGATTGTTGGGGGCCCGCTGCCTTTGGGATGGGGGGGGTGATGATGCGGCGCAATAACGACATTCAGGCAAGAACGTCCGAATCGATATTTGGATCTTTGGGCGGCGTCAACACTTGAGAGAAAAGAAACTCGAGCTTCCTCATCACCACCACCACCACCAAAAACCACCACCACTACCACCACTAGGACCAAGCCATTGTTGACGCCAATCACACCGGCACATTCTCAACCATTTTCATCGCCAAAGAATTTCACCACCAAAACCTCCCACCACCACCACCACCAGAGCCAACACATTGCTAACGCCACTTACGCCAACAAACTTTTCAACCACCCAAACCTCCCGCCACCACTACCAGAACCCACACAAGCAACACATTTGCTAACGCCACTGACACCAACACCTCCTCAACGACCCAAACCCTTTCCCACCTGCTCCAGAACGCCCGCCTCCAGAATCTCCCCGAAGCTCGGCCTCACGGCCGGGTCTCGGTCCCAGCACCGTCTCAGCAGGCGCTGTATGCTCCGCGGCCACCGCCTCTCTACGTTGGGTCTCCGGCGACCCAGGGCCACCGTCGCTCGGAACTCGTGGGTGCCCATGTGTTCGTACGGCTGCGTGCAGGGCATGAAACCGCCGTCGTGGAGAGGAGTGGCGTGCGGTTAGGCGTTAGCACATGATGAGAGAGGTGGTGTCGAGACAAGGCATGGAGGGTTGCATGTCTCGAGGTTGGACCACGGACAACAACAACAACAAGAAAAACAGTTCGTAGTACGCACAAACGTGGGATGTACGCAGGCTGTAGGCAGTTCCGGCGTCAAGCGTGGAGCAAAGCAGGACATGCGTTTTCAGAAGAAACGAGCGGCAATACCCAACAGTGATGAATGCACTAAATCGACGCGGGGTGGGTGGGACGGGGCAAGGGACTCCTACTGATTTGAATGCGTCTACAATGGCGGGCAACTCAACCGGAAGGAGAGAAGAAAAGTCCGATTCTCAACTCACCACATCGAGGGAGAGCATCTCCGCTACCACGTGGGACCACGCGTAGACGTCCACCTTTTCGTTGTACGAGCACCCGAGGAACGCCTGCCGCGTCATGCCATGAGAGAGAGAGAGAGAGAGAGAGAGAGAGAGAGAGAGAGAGAGAGAGAGAGAGAGAGACAGAGAGAGGGGAGTAACCACACAGACGAGGTCGGATCACCACCTGGGGGTACGACGTGACCTCCCACACGATATTGTCGTTGTTGTCTTGGCAAAAAAAACATTTCTTAAGCCTTCGATTTTGAAAAATAAAACAAAAAAACACACTCGCAAAAAACGCGTGTTGAGTATCTTCTGTATCTGTTGCAAAAGCACAAGCAGAACTTTGCAACCGGTAGGTACAGCACGTTGATAAACACAGCAGTAGCCTTCAGATGTGAAAAACAAAAACGCTGGTGCGACTTGTTACCTCTGGTGGCATGTAGCGAAGGGTACCACATCTACTCGTCATCGTGTACCGCTGGTTTGTGCCCGACTTCCTCGCCACCCTTTTGGCAAGCCCCATGTCTTCCATGCATCGCACCACCGCCACAACAGGGGCAGGAAAAGCGGACACGGACAGGAGAGGGAAAGACATAACACAACAGCGAGCCGAAGGAAGGAAAAAGGTGGAAGGGAGTCATGGAAAGTATTTACGTAGTGCGCGGGAGTACACTTGCCGGAACCGGGGGGGGGGGGGGCAGAAAAAGGCCAATGCAAAATACCTACCAAAATAGCTTATTGCAGGAACCGAAAAAAAAATGAAAAACAATACGCAACAGGACGCACAAAAAAAACGAAAAAACAAGATCGTAATATCCTTGTTGGCTGGATGCGTGTGCATTTTATTTCTCTTTTGGTGCCGTTCGTTTTTTTCCTTGCTGCCTTATGTAGATCACTTGCTCAGTTCGGGCCGGCGTGACGACGGGGGCAGTCGTGCTACTTCACCAGTCAAATCAGAAAAGCGCACGAGCTGCTGTGCAGGTCAAACCTTGAAATTTCAGAACAGTTTCGACGACGACGGCACAATGGCGCCGCCAACCGGCCGGACAAACCACCAACAACATGTTTGGGTCCAGTAGCTTTTTCGCCAGAGGTCGAAAAAGAAATAATGCTTGCCTCAAGACCTTTTACAGTAGTGCCTACCGAGACACACAGCAGCAGCATGTAGTTAGGCCCTTTATGGGGGCCCCACCGTAGCATATATCTCCACAGATTCCCCGCAGATGGACATCCGGTACCGAGTACCCCAAGGACAACATCAATAGACCCCAGTTAGCTACAGGTCACGAGGTCCAGACAAATTCGCATCCGTGCATTGGAAGAGGCTGTACAGTCCCGAGGTACGAAGGATGACTTCGTTTTAGACAGACAGAAAAGTGTCCCCCAACAAAGGAACCCCTTCGCGAGGATATAAATATCAATCTTTGAAGTAGAGAGTGGGGTTTCGTTTCCCTAACCTCCAACCAACACCCGGAATCCCTACACCCTCCCGAAGGCTCCCGAAAAAAAAAGTCAACAACGCACCGAACATCTTGAGAGTGCCGTCCGCGGCAAAGCCGATGTTGTCCGGCTTCAGGTCTCGGCATATGTACATGTATCCCGGAGAGGCCTCGTGGTGCATGTAGTGGAGTGCCGACGCCATGTCCTGGTCCGATGGCACAGGGAAGGACAAACATACACGTAAATACATACATGCAATCATTGTATGTCATACCATAATATCACAGAGAAAGACTACCCGCTCGAGATACAGAACGCGCCCGGACTTAAGGACCCAGGAGTTCAGACATTGAGCCTACAAAAAAAAATCGAACTTGCGTATGAGCTCGGTGAAGCCCTACACTAAAACCAACATAGCGAGCATGACCCCAGGAATACAGTAAGAACCCCAGCCTCGGTCGAAACCATTAAAAGAGGTTCTTAAGTGCGGGCGCGGTCTGTATAACACTTTGTTGAGGATTAACATCGGTGGTTCTTTTCATTAGGCTGCATGACTAAGGCCGGTAAACCCTGTACGAGGCCGGAAAACTCGCGTGACACGAAGATGGAAAATATTCAGGTTGTCTGTCTCATGCTACTCTGACTAGTGGAAGGTGCCTGGTTTTTGGTACGCCAGTGAGCGCGGTCGATGCCAACCGCGGAACATGCACACTGGACAGAACTTTTGATAGGAGGCGTTGCGTTGCCCCGGGGTAAACCTCTCGATTGGTCGGCAGGTTAGCGCATTCGGTGCTAATAATCGAAGAAACACACACACAAGACTCTCACCTGTGCCCACCCCATGGCCTGCGCCCAGGGGATGTAGTTCTTCTTGCCGTCCAAGACGAAATGGGGGATTTCGAACTCGCCGCGCCTCCGCTTGGAGATGAGGTTAGCGAGGGTGTTCCCGGACAGGTACTCGAGCACGAGGAAGGGCTGGAAATTGTTCTTGATGCCGCGGCGGCCGCTACCGATGAGCCTCACGATGTTGGGGTGCTGCAAGCTGGCGAGGTAGGCCTTCTCGATGTCCAACTCCCGCTCGATCTCCTCCAGAGTCTGCGTTGGTCGGACGAGGGCACCGCAGATTAAAAAGGGGCGGGGGGGGGGGTACTCCAGTTTTGCATGCCTTCTGTAGTTGTTAGACCACGCGTCCTCGAGAGGACGGACCGTTGTTGACGTGTTGGCGGTTAGCGTCAACAACAGCAGTAGCGGGGTGGAGCTCTGTGTGCCGTCACTTACACATCGGCGTGCATGATGATGATTTCCTCGGCTGGGAAAATTCTGGGAAGGTCTTCATGAAACTATAATAGGAAGTGAGTCAGGACAAATGTGGTGGTGTCAGAAACCGGTGTGTTTTTTGCTTCTATCATTTTTGTCTAGGTACATGGAAGGTTGAAGAAATTCCCAGCGGTTGGTGGTGCGGGGAGAAATAGGAGACGGGTGTTGAGAATACCTTAACGCAGCGGGGACAATTTTGTGGTCATGCTAACCTGGGTGCTCTACCTGAATAAACGGGCACCCATGACGCCTGTGAAGCGGATCAGAATCCCTAGTCCCTCCACGTGCTGCTAGTAGGCGGAGTCAAGAACCACTAGCGTGTTGGATGGGATTTGAGAAAGCAGCCGTGACAGAGCGTGCATGGAGGTCTTAGCCGAACCTTGACGGCGGTACACGTGAACCACGAAGAAGGCAAGAGCACACAGCTCACAGAAACACCCTTCGTTCGGTGGCTGGTTTGTACACCGAAAGGTTGGCCAGGATTACTTTTTAGTCCGAAGGTGTGGTGAAATCATAATTATCGAACAAAACCTTGCTTGCGGCAAAATCCCGGTCTCTTCGCGCAGGCAGGCTGCCGCCGTTGTCTACACAGTCGGCAGCAACAGCCGTCACAGCAGTAGTCGCCGGCAGCGGATTTGCGTGGCAACATCGACAGGTAAATAGACGTTTCGCAACCCCCGCGTGTGCAACTGCACGTTTTCTGAAAGAGAATACTAGTTGTTGTTGTCTTCAGGTTGAAAAACCGCTTAGTACCTTCTAATGTCCGTACTGGTCCAACTGACGTGGACCCCTTCTGTGATCAAAAGTCATCCACCCCAAAAGAGGGGCCCACGTGCAAATCCCTCAAAGACTAACAACCCCCGCTCGAGATAATACCCGCATACCCAGCCCCAGTCAAAGGGGATTTCTTTTACTATTCCTATTCCTGCAATGTGTTGGTGTTGCAACAAATATATATACTGAGCGGAGAACGGAACGGTTTTTGATGTAAGGACAACATGGACACCCTCACGGAAATAAAGAGCCAGCGAGGATGTACATGTGCTGGCTGCTGCTGCCGCTTTTGTTGTGTGCCACCCACGAAAACCGGGAGCGCCACCGCAGGAAAACATACGCTTCTGGAGAACACACGACTGAGATTGTTGAGCACCCACGACACAGACAGCAGTGGAAATTACACACTCTTACGTAGTAGAGGAATCTGTCGTCGGTGCCGGAAAACTCGCGCATTATTATGGTTCGGGAAGAGGGCGAGCGTGGACGGGACGTTTACCCTCTCGTGAACCGGGGGGCAACCATCTGGCGGAGATGTAGGCGCATGGCAGCATGTTGGTACATGCTCCCGGCCACTCTCGCGATGGGCGTGGCCGACAGCCCCAATCGCCTCAACATCGCCAGCACAGCGGTGGGCGTGGATGTATGCGGTGTGCCCCCCGCCAAAGCAGTCGGAGTTTGCCGACAAACCGAGGTGGTTGGAGGGCGGATAGCCAGCACAGCAGAATAGGACTGCTGCACGAGAAAGAGAGCAAAAACCCTATTATACCAGCGCCTGATCAACCGCCGCCCGCGAACACACCTCGTTGCTGCGCCGACTCGGCTTCTTGACGACCACAGTTCCGTGCCCCGCCAGATGCGCCGTGTAGCACGAGCACATCGCCCCGTCGGCGAGGTGCTGCAGGCCTGTGAGCTCTCGCCAGCGGATCGTTCGCGCTGGGTGGAACCTTGTGTTCGAGCCGGGCGCCCACGTACCCGACACCCGGTCCGAGTACATCCCTTACCCAAAACCGCACCGCTCGACGACGATGGTCCTCTAGCCGGTCGGTCTCCTTCTTCTCGTTGGTTGGGCGGCTGTGGCTGGTGAATGGCGGTGGGTGTACAGCAGTAGTGTACAGGCAGGAGTGGGGAGTGGGTGTGCTGGATGTGAAGTGCGGCGCAATTGTACAACTTTAACCTTTTTTTCTCGGAAAAAATATCGCCGCCTCATCAAGCCGCCCGCGGCGAGATTCTGCATTCGAAGCAGCAGTATCTAGCTTCCACGTGTATACATGTATACCACTGAGCTCACCGACGATCCCAAGGGCCTGATCCATGTCCATGACACAGTCCATGGTGCACCATCGTGTGCCAAAGGCCCTGTCCCTGATGCACTGTCTGTGGTGCGCCATGGTCCATATGGAACATGGCACGGTCCATGGCACGGTCCATGGGGTGCACCATATGGCGCTCCATCATGTGCCAAACACTACGGCACGTGGTGCTCCACCGTGAGCTAAACGCTCCCTCAAGGCACGGTCAATGGTGCGCCGAACGCTCAATGGCACGGTCCATTGCGCACCGTGGAGAACTGGAGAACTGTGTGCAGTGTGCGCCGAACGGTCCACGGCACGTTCCGCGGTTTACCATGGTGTGCCACATGGTTATTCGTGGCACCGTCCACGGTGCGCGCCATAGTGCGCCATGGTGTGCCAAACGCTCCATGGCATGGTCCATGAAGCACGATGTTCACCATGGTGTGCCATGTGGTGCTCCACGATGCGCCAAAACAGTGGTGCACGGCATGATGATGGTGCTCCATGGTGTGCGAAAAGACGCAAAAGACGGTCCATGAGTTTGCCCAAATGGCACCGTCCTGGTGCACCATGATGTACCACAAACGCTCCATGACACGCGGTCCATGGTGTACGATGTTGTGCCAAATGGTTTATTGCACGCCCACGGCGTGCCTATGCGGGTGCACTATGGACAAGCCCCAAACGGTCCATGGCTCGGTCCATCGCGCACCATGGGGAGAACCGCATGGTGTACCGCACGGTCAGTGGCACGGTCCACGGTGCCCCATGGTGTGCAAAACGGTCCATCGTGCACCAGTGCGCCATGGTGCACCAAACGCGCCCTTATGGCGCGGTCCCTGATGCATTGATACACTGTAGTATCTGTGGTGCGCCATGGTCCATGTGGCACGGTTCATGGAACGGTCCACGGTGTGCACCATGGCGCTCCATCGTGTGCCGAACGCTCCCATGGCACGGTCTATGGTGCACCATGGTGTACCAAACGCTCCATGGCGCGGTCCATGGCGCACCGTGGAGAACCGTATGGTGTGTCGAACGGTCCACGGCACAGACCACGGTGCCCCACGGTTCCCCATGGTGTGCCAAACGGTCGATGGCACAGCCAAGGGGTGCGTCCATGACACGGTTCATGGTGCACCATGGTGTGCATAATGGACCGCAAAACGGTCCATGGCACGGCCCATGGTGCACCGTGGTGCACCATATCGTGTGGCATGGCGTTACATGATCCGGGTTGTGGAACGGTTCGTGAACCGTACCATACCTCGGTCCATGGTCTGGTCCGTGGTGGTTCTTGAACCATGCCATGGGCCGGGCCGTGAAACGGGTCATGGGCCTTCCCATGGGCCATCCCATGAACTGGTTACGGCACACCTTGGAGCGTCCGATAAACCTACTTCATTGAGCTTCATGATGGTCCATGGACGGACCTGGACCGCGGTCCATGGGACAGTCCAAATATGTATGATGTCCAACTAATACCGTACATGACGGTTACCGACAACACAATTAGTTGCAGACGGCTGAACTGCCTCATCTCTTTCATCATAAAACGAACGAAACGATCTATGGCGAAGTACATACATACGCATACGACCTACGAGAGTGGGGGTCATTTGCCGGGTATCGCAACCGCTCGTCCCGGTGGTCTTCTGGTGGTTTACCTCGTACTTCGGCTATTACAGTAGTGACAGTATGGCATACTGCGAGTTCGCCTTTCTCTGGAGTGAACAGAAACAGCTTTCTTCGAGTCTGCAGCTTCTCTGTTGAATGTCCAGCGCCCGAGGCGGTCGTGTTTTGAGAAACTTCAACACCTTGCTTGCACTTCGTGATTATCCATAGAGTGTTCACGGGGTATGGTATGGGATTGACTTGGTCGATTTGGCGCACGTTGGCTTCATCGTCCAATTTCCGCGCTCACCGAAGAAAGGAAACGGAGAAAGGAAACGGAGAGATGCCAAATTTGCAGAGCACTGTCTTTCGGAGCCTTTTCAATTTTTCAAACAATAATGAATTGTCCTTCAACCAAGAATTAAAAAAGTTGCAAGGAAGGGTGGGAAAAATACTTTTGGCTCATGTGCATTGATTTGCAGCCCCTAGAGCTGGCAAACAGCTGCAAGCCTGCGATGTGTCAACCTCGTTCCTTCTCTCTGATCTGAGACCTCTAGCGCGCCGAAGACTGCTTGGACTCATTGTCTCGCTCTCTCGTTCTCTCGCTCGGGGAGCTGTACTCCGTGGAACTTTACCCGCACCGAAAAAACCGTCAGTAGTAATTCGAAGGGTCTTTCATTTACAACGACCAGTAGTCAGTTTGGATTGTCTATTCCCACAAACAAACAAACAAACCTGCCCTTTTCCACTTATTCCACTGTCCCCACACAGTAGCTTGGCCAGTTATATTACTGACCGCTATAACGCACGTACCCCCCCACTAGCTTCGCTTGGCCAGCGGCACTAGATGCTACCTTGCCACAACCTGGTACTAACTAATCAACACTGAACTGTTCCTGAGTACCCTGTTTCTGGGTAATGGGCAGAGTGGCACTCAACTCACCGTGGTATACGAGGCCCCGAAGATCAGTCCTACTTCACTGGATACCCCCCTCCCCGACTCGGTTCGAGATACTACTATAGATAGATACGATCTAGACAGCAGCAAGCAGTGTGTGTATGTTTTCGTTCTATTATGGCGACAGTCCCCCCATTCTTCGTGGTGAGACATACGTACGTGTACTACACTCTTCAGTGTAGTATGTAGAGCACTACACTCTTCAGGGTATTGTTTCTGTAGCACCAAGAAACACTCCTCGAAATCGCCACGTAGAACCAATGGCAACACATGAAAATCCAATTCATTCAGAGTTTTGCTCAACTCAACCCATACAGATATCGTTTCAATGTTTTTTTAAAGATATTTCATACGACTCCCACCCAATGGACGTTATGCCCCCAGCTTGTGTCTTAATCGCGAGAAAAACATTTCCCGAACAAAACAAAAGCAGTCAGCGACCATCGTCGAATGGCGGACTAAATACATGTAGTCGCCACCTTCCTCGCCATCGCTGTCCGATTGCGAGTCCAGCGAGTTCTGGCGCCTCTTTGGGCCATCATCATATGCTTCTTCGTCACCGCCAGTCTCGATTTCCCTACGGAGTCGGTGACACATTACATGCAGGTCGCATATATATCATGTGGTTTTTGCTGTGTATGGTTTGGTGGTGAGCGGGTTGTTGGTGGCAAGAGGAGCGGCTGATCGTGCTGGGTGGGGTGTAGAGAGGTTGACGAATAAATGCGCTTGTTTTGAGACGTTCTCTCGTCGAACATCGACCCTCGCTCCCAACGCAAGGATGGCTACAATGAAGCGTTCATTCTTCAAACTTCGTGCACACTATTGTACTACATGCATCGAACGCGGTGTCTCACCTGATCTCGTCCGGTGGCAACATACATACATCGTCGGAGGGCCTTCTGCAAGACCTTCGAAATGGTGCACTTGGTCACGATGATGATGCCCGTCCACACAACGGACAGACAGACGGATGATCCCCTCACAAATGGTACCATTCTCATGTCCGTTCGTAGTCAAGCTACTTATGAGAGCTGAAGTAGTAAACGGCAGAGAGATGAACAACAACAGTCAGTGAGGTCCCAGGGCTGCATCTTTACTCGCGATGAGGGAGTTGACCAACCAGTACTCGGCATAAAAGACCTAAACCTAGTTGCACCAAAAGTGTTCGTTTGTTTGTCAGAAAACAATCCTGGTGGTGTTTTCACGCCCAACAATGATGATACGACTGTACACAAAAAATAGTATACCTACAGTACTTTGTCCTAAGTAGGTCATGTAACACGAGGTGTGTGTGTGCATGTGTTCATATCTTTGCTGTGATGTGTGGTGCGAAGTCTCGGGCCGTGTACATATCATCAGCAAGATATCAACACGCGTTGATTAAATCTCTTCTACTGCAAGGGTCTGTGCGAAAAAAAAATCCGGACACGTAGGCCACCACCCCCCACCCCCCCGGAGGGGGAAGAAATTCGAAAAGTTACCATGAATCGTCGAAAAATTACAATGAGGTTGCAGTAGATAGATGTGGATATAGCAAACGTGCCTCACTCTCGTTACCCGTTCTGCATCATCTACCTCCTGGTCATCGATGCCGGCCCACACTCATCACCCAGCCGTGCTACTACAGGAACACACGGAAACAAGCAGCCTAGTTCGCGTACAACAAGTAGTACGAGGAAATACAGTAGTAGTAGTAGTTACAGCGGCACAGCAGAGTAATATATAGTAGTATCGATCAAAAAGCTCGAAATCAGTCCATTCAATTGGAACAGGTCATTGACCAGCTTTCACATTGAACCACCTGCCTTGCAAACTTGCCCTTGCCGCCTCCTCTATCTATAGCACTGCACAACAGGGAACATAGTCTCGCAAATCTACTCGTAGCCTTGGTCTTCTTGTCGGGTTACGTTTGACTTGACCATTCTGCCACATGGACGGGCGACTGGTGGGCTATATATATAGCGGCTGCCCCCGGGGTATGTATACATGTGAAGATTGCGATGATGACCCTGTAGTGTGCGGGGTGTCTGCAATCTCTCGGAAGTCTCCACAGTTCACAGAGAGAGCCAGCAGCGCCGCCAGCGGTGATGCAAACCACATGCGAGAACAGGACGCCGAAGCACCGACGCC